CTTAATTATCAGTAAAAAGACATAATGTTAGATACACCTAGAAAGAGAAGAAATATTTTTAAAGCTACTAGAAAAAGTTTTCAAAATATCTCAGTAGTGGTTAAAAAGAAAAAATATCTATTACCTCTAGCCCATTCTGTATAGGTTAAGACCAATATAAAAATGTATTGTAGGTTCCTTTTACAAAAAGAAATCTTTTAGATTTTTAATCACTCTGAAGAAAATCTACCTTTGAAGTTATTTAAATGCAGGAAGAAGAGCTCCCCTTACATATTTCTCCAAAAAATGTATATCTCCTCTTCTCACAAAATCTTCACCATCGAGAACTTCTGAGAATGTGTGCTGAGATGGGGGTAGAAAAAAGAAGGCTGAAAATACTGAACTAAAGAATATATCCTCTTTATTGAAATGAAGAGTGGGACTGTTTACATGATATGTGAAACATATCCAGTTAAAACAGTCTGGTGGATCCCCTCCCATTTTCATGAGGCCTGCCTGCCACTGATACTGTTTTAAGTCAAGGTAACTAGACATGGCTGTCTCTAGTCTGTATAGCACCTCCATGTGAATGAGTAAAAGGCACCCCCTGCCATCTGTTGGAAAATTGTTGTAATATGCTGTATTTGTATATTGCCCTCTGACAGACATTTGTCATAATAAATATACAAACACATGATGTGAATTCCACCCCTTGGACATGGTGCCGTTTCTGTAGTGCATGGCCTGCACAGTCACATGAGGCATTTGCAAGTTGGAAAAAAAAAAAAGAAATCACCATGACAATATTTGTCTGTAACATGAAAATGAGAAACCAGATTCATTGCAGTTAACTCCTGGAAAGTTCCTGTTCTCCAAGTTGGTGGTATTGGAATGTTGTAGAGTTGGGGTGTGGGGTAGGGATGGTTCTTTCATTGATGGCTTCCATTATGGAGAACAAAAGCTCAACTATTCCTCTGTATATGTCTTACATTCTCTTAGAAAGAGACTATAAATTCCAACTATCTAGCCAAATGGAAAAGATTCTCTGTTTACAGAGAAAACACAAAGCTTGCTTCTGCCCCATCATTAAGCAGGCTGAGTATGCTTAGCAGAACTTTTCCACTTAGGTATCCAAGTTAAGGCTATCAGCAACTTTTTTGCTTGAAATTTAAATATTTTAGAAACATTTTGTAGAGAAAACTATTCCCAGACCCTTTAAAAAAGAATCAATAGCCCATTCTGTATAGGTTAAGACCAATATAAAAATGTATTGTAGGTTCCTTTTACAAAAAGAAATCTTTTAGATTTTTAATCACTCTGAAGAAAATCTACCTTTGAAGTTATTTAAATGCAGGAAGAAGAGCTCCCCTTACATATTTCTCCAAAAAATGTATATCTCCTCTTCTCACAAAATCTTCACCATCGAGAACTTCTGAGAATGTGTGCTGAGATGGGGGTAGAAAAAAGAAGGCTGAAAATACTGAACTAAAGAATATATCCTCTTTATTGAAATGAAGAGTGGGACTGTTTACATGATATGTGAAACATATCCAGTTAAAACAGTCTGGTGGATCCCCTCCCATTTTCATGAGGCCTGCCTGCCACTGATACTGTTTTAAGTCAAGGTAACTAGACATGGCTGTCTCTAGTCTGTATAGCACCTCCATGTGAATGAGTAAAAGGCACCCCCTGCCATCTGTTGGAAAATTGTTGTAATATGCTGTATTTGTATATTGCCCTCTGACAGACATTTGTCATAATAAATATACAAACACATGATGTGAATTCCACCCCTTGGACATGGTGCCGTTTCTGTAGTGCATGGCCTGCACAGTCACATGAGGCATTTGCAAGTTGGAAAAAAAAAAAAGAAATCACCATGACAATATTTGTCTGTAACATGAAAATGAGAAACCAGATTCATTGCAGTTAACTCCTGGAAAGTTCCTGTTCTCCAAGTTGGTGGTATTGGAATGTTGTAGAGTTGGGGTGTGGGGTAGGGATGGTTCTTTCATTGATGGCTTCCATTATGGAGAACAAAAGCTCAACTATTCCTCTGTATATGTCTTACATTCTCTTAGAAAGAGACTATAAATTCCAACTATCTAGCCAAATGGAAAAGATTCTCTGTTTACAGAGAAAACACAAAGCTTGCTTCTGCCCCATCATTAAGCAGGCTGAGTATGCTTAGCAGAACTTTTCCACTTAGGTATCCAAGTTAAGGCTATCAGCAACTTTTTTGCTTGAAATTTAAATATTTTAGAAACATTTTGTAGAGAAAACTATTCCCAGACCCTTTAAAAAAGAATCAAATAAATAGTTTGGGGGGTTTCCATCTTGGAATTCGGATGTTTACTTAAGAAACTCTAATAAAGCCCTCTTTCAAGCCCATGAAATTGTAGTCAGAATCTAGTGGTGGACTAAGGATTCAGGAAATAGCTATTGATTTGTGAGAAAGAAAGGGAAAGAAAGGGCCAGGAAAGGAAGCAATTTGATGAGAAACTTTTGCTAATTGTTATTTCCTCCAACTTTGAAAAAAGCATTCTACCAACAGTGGAATTCAAAACATTCTCACTCCCAGATTAGCCCATCTAAGCAAGAGGTAGCACCCAGGACATGGCTAAGCTTCTCTGAGCAAAGGCCTGCGAGCGAGTGGGGCTGATCCATTGGCTTTGAGGCTTAGTGCAAACGTGAATTTCAGTGAGCGCAGGCAATTAAGGGAAAGTCCAATGCCTCATGCCCAAGGGATTGGGCAGAAACCAGGAAAGATTCCAAGGAGAAGAACTGGCTAGGGAGATCTTGATTAGAGAGAGAAAGTTGCACCACTTCTAAGATTCCAGAAGGATGCCAGAAACCTACACTGCATATGCCTACCTTGTAGGGTTATTAAAGATAAAGTCAGGGGCTCTCAACCTTGGCTGCACACTGGAATCATCTGGAACTTTTGCAGATTCTGACACTCAGACAACACCCCCAGAACAATTAAATCAGAATCCCTTAGGATGGGACCTGGCGCCAGTTTTTTATTTTGTTTCATTTTAATTCGGCAGTTGTTCCTCTGTGCAGCCACAGTGAGAGCAACTTGAGGTAATGAACCAATGCAAGTGCCTGGCATACTTTTGGTTCCCAATGCTTGTGAACATCCTCCTCTCTGAATTGTTTCCTGCTACCTCTCCTCCCCCTTTTTTAAGCTTGCACAGGATAGTATTATGTCTGGCTCAGTCTTACAACGTGTGTCTCAGGTGATTTTGCCTCAGAGTTGGAGAATTTGTTTTCATCTTCATGTTGAAAAAGACAGAACTCTCTTCTTTTCTCACTTTTAATTTACCATCTCATCTATTTCACGCTTTTATCTTCTTTCCAGTATTACTTCTTTCACCTTTAAGCTCCAGAATCTGTGAATTTAGGAAGAACTCTGACTTCTGTGTCCCTAGTGATTGAATTTAGCCAAACCTTGAGCACTTCAGAAGGATCAGTGTGGAAATGAAGTTTAAGGAATAGAAGGGCTCCTAAAAATAGAACACAATTCATCCATTTCAGTTAAAAAATGCCTTTATGTTTTCCAATCATTTTTGAACTCTTAAACATTTTTAATAAGCTCACTTATGAGTCTTGTTGAAACATAAGTAAAATACACTTGTTTTCATTAAGGGGAGAAACCTTTTTCCGTCTTGGTATTGTTGAAGGAGACAAAAAGGAGTCCAAAACTTGGCAAAGAAGTACATTAGTGACACGTTAGCCACAGATGTGCTGGTACAGATACATTTTCTTCCTGCAGTTAGTATTTTAAGTGCCCACAATTACATATGAAAATCTAGATAACCTCCTTCCAAAAGGGAAGGATGAAAAATTAGGGTACTTGCAAAATCTTCATTTTTAAGAAATTCTAAATGTATTTTAATGAATAGGCAAGAGACACATATTCACTGGCTAGTTATACTTTCAAAGGAGAAATAGTGCTAGAGGATACCAACCTTTATTTATCATCAGTTCTAAATGTCTTAAGCATGTACAGATGCCTGGAGATTCTCTTTGGCCATACCTGTGAATTAAAAGATTTTCTTTCCTTAGCAATTCTTAAGAAAATCAAGAAAGCAAAACTGAAGAGGCAGAAGGTAGCTCCTTCTAGTAACTTCATTGCTCAAACCTGTAGGCCTCTGGAGCCAAGTAGGAAGAGTTTGGCCAGATTGTGTTAAGTTACAGAAAGTCCTAAAAGGACTCTAAGATAGTATTATTGACAAGCCAACTCTGGGAACAGGATTAGGATTCACCTGGGAGGAAAAAGTGTTGGCATCACATTAAGGCAGTTGTAATAGATGAGTGTGATCCCAGACCTAAAGCTCTAACTATAAGGATGTAATGGAAGGAAAAGGTAAGTTGTAAAAAGAAAAAGGATCAAGAAACACATTTGACAGACATAAAAATAGTAATAACAAACTAGCACTTTTTATTATAAGACTTACTGAGAATATTTTTAACTCATCTTGATAAGAAAACTAGACAAGGGACTAACTCCTGGGGGATGACAGATGCCTCATTTTTATCATGTTTAAATTCATGAACTAACCAGTTTGAAAGGTCAGGTGAATTGAAAGTGATATGAAATTGAACAGAAGGGGAAAAATTAGGAGGGGAAGAATTAGTGCATTACCTATGTAAGAAACTGAATTAAGACATGAAAAAACGGATATGACCATCGTTCCTGATTCGTAGGTTGAAGGTTATCTATTTGCATTTTTAATTCAGTAAGAATATGCATGATTTAGTGATCCAATGATTACAGAGAAAGATGGCTTTAAATCAGGAGCTTGTAATACACTTTTCAGCCCCAAAGCTATTTAATAGTGCTATCAAGGGAATGTTAGTGTTTGATGCTAATCCAGTACTGTCTGGTGTCTTGTGTATTTATTTGATTTTATTAGTTCAAGACATCATGCTGTATAGCTTTTTAAAGATAAACCTGGAGGAAAGAATTTCTTCTCCTTCTCAAAGTACCTTCTTGTTATTTTCCATTTCCCTAGAAAAGTGACAATATTGGAGGACCCTGATCAGAACATTCACCTGAAAAACCTGTCTCTTCATCAGGCAGCCACAGAGGAGGAAGCTCTGAATCTGCTTTTCTTAGGAGACACCAACAGAATGATTGCAGAGGTAATGAACTTTTCTCTACAAACTGTTTTTCCATATTGTAAGATATAATCAAATTTTTGAAGCAGCAACGACTTTAAAAATAATCTCATCCAAATCTCATAACACACATAAGGAAATGGAGATCCAGAGAACTGAGGAGACTTTCCCAAGGTCATCCAGCTAGTTAATGAGCAGGGGCTGAAATCTAGAGTCTTTTGATTTTTATAGTTTTCAATTTTATACAAATTTGTTTACAGCTAATCAGTGACAACTGATTTTCATTAAATGTCTTAATTATAGGAATTTTCACATAATTTTTGAAATTTAAAAATACACGGTTCATTCTTCCTACCTTCAAGTCATCCATGTGTTGGCATATGTTTCCATACCCATATTTCTTCATGTATTTAGTGTATTAATATTTAGAACTGTGCATGGTATATGGAAAGTGCTCTGCATTTTCAGCTCTTGCTGGCGGATGTGGGGACACTACCATGGTATGTAGCATATCTCAGTGCAACATTTGGGATATCCTTATACTAAAAACTATCTCTTGTTAATCTGACATTCAGGCCTCACTGCACAACCGTATGTTACCTGGGAACCCTAGGCGGGAGCCAGGATTAACCCAGCTTGGTCGGGGGCCCTAAACTCAACCAGTCCCTGATTGGAGATGGAAGGTCACCAAGCACTCATTTGGTGACACTGCAGTGCAAGGGCTGGGGTGGTGGTGGTGGCACAGGAAGGTTTTCCCAAGTGCATGGCTTACTGTTAGCACTGGCACTTTCCTTTTTAAACCATGCTCCAGGAGTTCCGTGTGTTGCCTCTTCTCTATCAAGTGACCTTTCTTCCTTCCCCATTTCTGCCTTAGACCTAAGATGGATAAATGGAAACCAGATTCAGATAGCGAAAGCATGGTGTTGTCATCTGTTGTCGTGTGGGGCCCTTAGTTTTGTCATTGCTTACCAGTTCTGCATCAACACTTTTCACAATTTTTAATTCCATAGTATCTTGTTTTGCTACACAATATTTCATGCTTGTGTTTTGCCTCATCATCTTGCCCATGTTGCTCCTATTTGTCACAATACTTACAGACTACAGAATCAGGGAGTATGATGATGAAAGATTATCGTACCACACTAAAAATCCTGTTCCTCCCTACACAGCTTAGTAAACAGCAAACCAAGGGATACAGAGTGTAGGTGGGTCTGGCTCACCAAGGAACATGAAAAAGAGAAAAGGTATATTCATAAATGCAATTAGAAACCCAGGTGGAGAAACCTACCCTTGTGTCAATGCTAACCTTCCTCCAGAGGTGCGTCATCCCTAGAAAAATCTAGACCTGTCCTCACAACCACATCCCTCATCTTGAATGGGTTATGGAAGGACCATAAACCTCAGGGGGCACCATGACTTCTATTAGCTTAAAAGCTCGGCCAGTTGCTATTTCAAAGTTATGTGTTATCTTTAGCTGACTACATATTTTCGAACTATTGTTTTATAAAGTTTTGAGGACCTCACACTACCTTTGAGGAAGCATGTCTGTCATGTTCTACCACCTTACAGCATTCCAACAGTCTTTTCCTATTACTGATGAGTATCTAATAATAGCATCATAAATAACTGAAACCCAAAAAAGTCCAATCCTAATAATGCTGGATTTTTTTTAATATATTCATTTTTCCTGTGTGAAACCTGATTTCTTTTAAACCATGTCTAAGTAGGTTTTGAATGTTTCTGTGCTTGCTTTTTTTTCTTCTCTGGCAATAATAGCTACCATGTTATATTGAGAACCTCCTCAATAGACTAGGCATTGTTGTAGATTCTCTCTATCTATCTATCCATCTATGATTTCTGATTCTCACTTTATAGATGGAAACTGAGGCTTTAAGAGTTAGACTACTTGCCCAAATTCACACACCAGTAAGTGGTAGAGCCAGGGTTCAGCTCCAAGTCTGACTGATTTAGAAACTTCTGTTCTTTCCTTACACCACATTTCACAAGAATAATAATTGAATTGACATATGTCAAATTTTTCAAGTGAAATATGTCTGAATTATTTAAAAAGTATAGCAAGTGTTTAGCACTTTATCTCTTGAATTCATTGAAAGCAGACACATAAAAATATATATGAAGAATAATTGTCAATCCCTAGAAATACTTTATTATTCAGTCTCTAAAAAACATGTTTTAGATTACCACCTAGCTGTCAGAATGTAATTTGTCAGCACACCAGTAAGTGGTAGAGCCAGGGTTCAGCTCCAAGTCTGACTGATTTAGAAACTTCTGTTCTTTCCTTACACCACATTTCACAAGAATAATAATTGAATTGACATATGTCAAATTTTTCAAGTGAAATATGTCTGAATTATTTAAAAAGTATAGCAAGTGTTTAGCACTTTAGTTTATCTCTTGAATTCATTGAAAGCAGACACATAAAAATATATATGAAGAATAATTGTCAATCCCTAGAAATACTTTATTATTCAGTCTCTAAAAAACATGTTTTAGATTACCACCTAGCTGTCAGAATGTAATTTGTCAGCACAGAACGAGCTTACCAGGATAAAAAGAACATACTAATCCTTTATTTAAAAAAAATAAGGTTCCCAATTTCCCATTTACACAGAGAAATCTAGCAGTTGCCATGGCAACTACAAAACATATGCAAAACAAAGCCTGAATATGTGGGACACAAAGAAGAGTGCCCTCCTTTCGTGTGCTCTACTCTAGACAGCATGTTAAGGAGAAGTAATTAAGAGTAGCTTCATTCTCTTCTTATTTTTTCAGAACTCTTAAATAATTTCTGTAATCCTACCAGTGTTTTGAATAAAACCTGATTATGTCCTTAGGGTAAATTTTTTAAAAACCTGAATTGCTGTGCCAAAGAGAAGAAATATTGTAAAAACTGAACTGTGTGTGACCTGGTGTTAAAGCCCACCAGTAGCGAGTTTGACTTCATATGTTTTTGTCTTATCATTGAAATGTTTCTATCAATAAATCAAATCTACCTAAATGACTTTCTGCATTTGACTGTCAGGCCCTGCATAGTGCCACTGTGGGGATCATTTGCCCAGCTGTGCCCATGGTCCAGAGCACTCTGTCCCCTGGTATGGCCCAAAGATATCTTGCATTGGAATACCCTGTGGTTGTCAAAAAACTGTTGGATCACATTTGTGATCAGTGGATTCAGAATCTCTGCAGTGGGGCCCAGGAATATACATTTTAGCATTATAAAGTGCTCAGGTTAAACCCAGGGGCAGTTTGGATTTTAACATTTGTAAGCTGGTTGAAACTCATTCTTAGAGAAGCACATGAGCAGGTCCGTATTCCGCACCCTTGCCAACACCACAAAATTTGAAAAATTTTCCACCAACCTGGTAGGCAAAAAAAAAATGTTTTAATTTGCAAATTCTTTTGTATCTTTATTTTCTATTTGCATTTCAATTTTTGTTTATATCTTCCATTTGTTTGTTTCTTGGAGAATTAGGGTAGGTCTGACTGATTGGTTGACTCCATGAGGACTGGGACTTGGTCTTGTCAACATCCATTGCCCCTGGAAACAGAATATGATATATAACAGGTGCTCAGTAAATAATTGTTGAATAAATGAACATTAAAGGCAGTAACTTTTTGCCTTTGTCAGAAATTTAGTTAATATTTCACCTTCTTATAAATTTTCTTTTAGTTTTAATTCCTTTTTATTAAACATAGTCAAATAAACCCCTTTAGTTTAAGATTTCTGCTTTGGATGCCATGCTTAGAAATGGCATAGACCACTGATGAAAACTTCTACTTATTAGAAAGGGTTTCGTTGTTTTGAATTGAAGTTTAATGCCCACGTGTATCCCATTGTTCCCATTTTGGCCTGGGACGTGGGAAGAGATGGTTGGAGTAGATCTTCTCAGAGGTTTCTGGAGAATGAGGATTTTACATGAATCTTGAAAAGCTATCCTGATTTTAAAAACTAAGGTTCATTTTGGATCCTCTCTCTAGAAGTAGCTTCCATTGATAAAAGTTCCATTTATATTCATTTTAAGGAGTCATAATGCTATTCAGAGTGAATCATGAGACTAACCTGGGCCTCTTTTACAAGCTAATTTGGTGAAGAGAATAGTATCTGGGGTCCTTTTTACCAAAACTTCATAGTAGTGTCTGAGTGAAATTGTGCAGCCACCCAAATTTATATATTGAAGTCCTAACTCCAAGTACCCCGTTGAGAGATCTTACTGAGAGATCGGGCCTTTATAGAAGGAATTGAGTTAAAATGAGGTCATTAGGGTGGGTCCTACTCCAGTATGTCTGAGATCCTGATAAAATGGGGAAATTTGGAGCCAGTCCTATATTCAGGGAGAATGCCATGTGAGCATGAAAACAGTCATTTGAAAGCCAAGGAGAGAGGCCTGGAACAGACCTTTACCTCGCAGCTCTCAGGAAGAAGAACCAACCCCATCACACCTCCATTTTGGATCGCTAGCTTTAAGAACTGTGAGGTAGTAAATTCCTGTTGTTCAAGCCACCCAGTTTGTTGTACTGCTTCACAGCAGCCCTAGCAAACTAATAGGGTGTCCAAATAACCTAGGATGTAATTTCTTATATGATTGGTACCTGGTGTAGCTCTTGATCTTGATGAATTCAGAGCTGTATCTAGTGCACAATACTTGCCGTGAAACCGCTTGAAGGAGACCTTTGGTGAAAAAAGTAACCTCTGTGCAGCACTGGGGCAGTCCCATTGGTAGGTTGCTTGCTTTCTTCCCGCGCGGCTTTCTTCCCTGAGCGTACCATCGGGCGAGTTTCTTCAGTCACTGTTGATGTTCTCTCTGGGGCTTCTTGGCCATCACTGTGCATCCCAGCTAGGTAGTGCTGATGAGCTCTGGGGATGACCTTCTGTTCTACTCCTGGCCCCACCTTTCCAGGTGTATGTCCTTGGGCAAGTCACTCAACCAGTCTGAACTGCACTTTCTAAACCTAAAAAATGGGCATACTAATACTTACCTCTAGGGTTACAGTAAAAATTAAAT